AAATAACATTTTCATAACTTAATGGGAAAATTAACACGACATTATTAGAGCATATTTTTGTTAGCTGGGATACTACTTAATACAGCACATTATACTGTTTTTTAAAATATACAGGTATGCATTGCAAAGTCAAGTGATTAGTCACATGACATTTACAGCTCAGGTGATTGGCTCTTACGTGGCCCCTTGAGTAAAGATCTCAAATCTTGTACTTTGAGACAATTCTGTGCTATTTAAACAAGTGGGAATGCTAACAACAGACAGCTTTATTATAGACCTGCTTGGGTCATTTGGGTGTTTTATGTTTATGGAACATGTGCCTACTGTGCACAGTATACATATTACATAATGGTATTATGGTAGCATGCTATTCTGAACATAGCCAGTGTGTCTTTTTAAGTGAAAGAGAATGTGGAGCATTAAAGCTGATGGTCACCAGATGGCAGTAACAGACTGGAAATTCTGTACATGTGCTCTACAGCTGATATATCAATAATCTGCTGTCTACCATGAGAGGGCGACACTGTCAAACAAGCAATGCAATTATGAAGTGATGAGTTTGCCTACTGTAATGATGGAAAGACTCTTAAATGCACTCAAAACTTGAGCCAGATAATGACAATATTTTACAGTTGCTTTCCAGTAGAATTTAAATTCGTCTCATAACTGAAGAAGTTTGCACCATTGATTCTGTAATTTTTGAAGCTGCTTGAACCAATCTATATTGTATAACGTGCTATATAAATAAATAAATGGGACAGATTTGTGGTGTTTTGAATTTGCATTGTTTTACTATCACTTTTATAATTATTATTATTAGTAATAGTAGTAGTAGCAGCAACAGTAGATCAAAGTTAAACAATAAATATATAAAGATTACTGCATAGGCAATATGCAAAATTATTATAATAAAATAGACTAAATGGGAAAAAAATTACAGTTTTGTAAAAACATCATTATAAAAAAAAATCAATGGAACAATTGTGGATGTGGCTTCATGTTGCTCAGTGTGTTTTATTACATTTTAAAAATGTATTTAATTTATATTACTTTATCATTTGAATGTTATGTTCCATACCCACAGCTTTATCAGAACAGACCTGCAACCCATTTTCACGACTCACAGTGCTGATGTAAAATTTTCAGCACTTCATGGAAACTTGTTTTCTGCCACGGAATAAAGGAATAAAAAAAGGTAACGGCAACTTTTTTTATCTCATAATTCAGATTTCTGAGAAATGTTGAGAAAACAAAATCAGAATTGTGAGATATAAACTATTGTAGTAATTACAATTGTAATAAAAGTTTATATCTCCCAATTCTGAGTTTATATCTTACAGTTCAGAACGAAGTCAGAATTGTGATATATAAACGGAAATAAAAAAGTCAGAATTGTGAGATAAAAAGTCGCAATTATCTTTTTTTTTTCAAAACAGGTTTCCATTTATGTATTAATATTATAATGATATATAAATTACTGGAATGGAACATAAAATGTTTGAGTTTAGGCTTAAAGGGGTCATAGGATGCCCATTTTCTACAAGTTGATATGATTCTTTAGGGTCTTAATGAAAAGTCTGTAACATAGTTTGTTTAAAATTTCTCAATGTTAGTGTAAAAAACACCTTTTTTTACCCTGTCAAAAACAGCTCTTTTCAGATCAAGCCGTTTTTGTAGCATTTTCCTTTAAATGTTAATGAGCTGTGCTG